CATACCATGAAACTGGAGCAAGATGTAAATGATCTCACAGTAGGTTCTTGCTGGAGTGGCTGGAACTTGCTTCTGTCCCCTTTCCCTTCTGCCACTCTCTGTGTCCTTACTGAGCAATGAGAGCGAAGGTTCCCTTTGTCCTACCTTTGTTACTTTCCTTTTCTTTGGTGGCTACTTACAAAACCAGGGAAACGAAATGTGTAAAATGGCATCTTACACACAGAAGCTATTGAAACAGAATTACTCACTCAGGAATGGTACCAAGGAGGAAGAGGCCTCAAAGCATTGTAAACTGCAGGATACCTTTCCCTGGAGCCTTTAGAAAAACAACAGCAGGCAAGAGGTAGACATTGAAATAGCAGACTGAGATATGTCCTTAAATGCTTTTTTTCAGGGTCTTTAAAGAGGATCTGTGCAGCTAGAGAATAGCCCATCTCTTTTGATTTCCCCTGAGGATAACCCTCCTCTGCTGCTGCTGTTGCTATTTATCTAATTTTGCATTTGCTGGGTGATGCTCTTGTGACACCAAAAAAAAAGCATGCATTCTTTTTGGACACTTCAAAACCACATTTTTAAGTTTCTACCTGAAATTTGAACCGCTTAGGGTACACAAATCCATAGTCAATCTCAATTTTGATATGCAGGAACCTGTTTTCTTTTATGTAAACAACATACACAAACTTTGAGAGAGGAGCAGTAGAACAAGGGAGAGGAAAACTTAAAAATATTTATATACAGAAATGGTTATTTATGTTCTGATAGTCTTGTTGCTAGAGAGTAGAAATAAAGATGAAATCTCCTAGGACTTAGCTTGTCCAGCGCCTGATGGTAGAGAAATTGCCCTGTTTTCCAAGTTACAAAATAGAGTGAATTTATTACTCACGTTGACGCTGTATGGTTTCAGTTATGGGTTATAAAATGCGTTGAGCTTTTCTACACAATGAGGATATCATTCTTATAATACAGAATTCCTATAATAAATGGACCTTTACAATATAGGCATATATATGGGGCTTTATTATAATATAGAGATGTAAAAAATATTGTGGAACTATTATTTGTTTCGAAATGCAGATGAGATTTTGACTGCTTTTGAGGCAAAAAAATAATAATTCTACTAGTTGATAACACCTTTTACCTATCATGTCTAATGACCTGCCATATCATCTCCAGATTTGTTAAGTCTATCTCATAGAAGAATATGCTTCCGAGTATATTTACATGCCAATAAATCTTTTAACATTTAGCATTGAATTGAAGGTTTCCTGACAACAGAAATCTAGGAAATGTTTTCAGGACATACTGTCGCATTTTGCATATACCAGTTTTTATATGCAGGACATGGCACTCAATCATTTAACGTACAGTATGTTTAGACACAGTATTTTTCTGAAGAAATTTTTTTTTCCATTTCTAAATGCTGGTTGTGACTAAGACTGCTTTAAATTTCAAACCAAGAACACAGGGAGTGTCAGTGTTTGGGAGCCTGAAGCTTCTGTTAGGTGGAATAGGGGAACTTGTGATCCCTCTGTGCCTCAAATGTGCAAGTGCTGTCACAGAGCAGTGACAAAGGTGTGTATATTTCACTCATGGCCTTCATATTTTAATGCACCGCAGTTTAATTAGCAAGTCTGTTGTTAGAAGTATGTCTTGTTTAGTATCTTCTTATGATGATGTAGGGTTCCATAATTAACAATAGTTTCAGCTTTTATGTTCCTCAGCAAAACACCTGATTGTGTCCTATTTACATGCTGTTAAAAAACGAATCAATGTACAGATCTGCTGTTTCAAACGCATAGCAGCGGCCTTCGCTTTGTGTTGTCAGTGGGGAGAGATCTGTACAAACATTTATGGTACACACTTGCCAGTACCACCACTCAAGTACATTATCAGAGTTCCCTTAGATACTTTGTTACATCTACAGTGTCTGCATTCTGAGAGTCAAAAGCTGCTATTAAACTTCCAATTATTATGACTATTCCAAACCTTGCCTGAGGTAAGGATGAATGCGTACTGGACTGGCACATCAAGACAATAGAAATACGCTGAATTATATGGTTTACTCTAAATCATGAACCCTTTTGTGGGATTTAGTAAGTACTGTTTGCTGAATTCTACACTCTCTTGTATCTTTTAAACTAATTTTTGTCAATCAAGGTTGTTTAATTCATTAATTCATTAAACCTTAATCTCTATAAATCTCTATAAAGATTCTATAAATCTATAGAGAATCTATAAATCTCTATAAAGATTCTTGATATTCATATTCTTTTAATTACATGCAGTCTAAACAGAAATGGCACGACATATACTATACTATATAGAGAGAGTGTATTAGCAGATTTGGAGTGTATATCATACATATGGTTAGTTTAATTATGTTCCTTAAGAGATGTCTCCCTTGCTTAAATTCAGCAGTTTCACCAGGATGTGTTGGACTCTTATCGTTAAGTGCTTGTCTTCTCTCCTGAAGAGAAACAGTGCCACCTACAGACTCAATTGTTAATTTTCAAAAAGAGCAAGCTTTTATTTCATTTGAAAAAGTTGCAGAAAGATACTGGGCTTGGAAATAATCCTGTATTTACATATTCATAAATTGTATATAGAATAGCCCAGTTAATAACTAATAAGACTTACTGATAGTATTATTTTAAACCAGAAATGTCATTTTTGACAATATAAAATGCTTAGTTCAGTAAGTTTAATGATAGAGAAAAGCAATCAATATTTAATACTGACTAATTTTCATTTGAAATTACATGAAAGTAAAGGATGTACAGTTGTAATTACTTCACGGGAAAACTGAAAAGATCTATGTCATTTTCTTGGCTTTGTTTAAAACGACTTTTATTGAAAGAGCTACCAGAAGGAAGGTAATAACATTTTACACGCCTTTGTCCTACACCAAAGGGAGAGCTGTTCCTGTTCACCAGTAATTCTGATAGTGTTAATAAGCTCTGCGAAAGACTATCATATAACTTGCTGTTCTGCTACAACCTTTAGTCACTCTTGGAAATGGGTTGTAGGTTGACAAGTATTCAGTCATGTCTTAAGAGAATGGGGAAAAACGCTTTACTAATTAAGTACTGAACTATGTTACATGCTGATGAGTTCATGTGACAGTATCTAAGGTATTAAAGTATCTGGGATATTGATGCACTCCAGGGGCATTGAGGTAACTCCCAATCAAGTTAGCTGAAAATGAGGACTCAGGCATTTCCATTCCCTTTGCAACTCACTTGTTTTAATCAAGGTAATGCAACAACTACTTAAGATACATCTAGACAGCACAGCAGGTAACCTTCTTGGTGAATTATTCAGTTCTTCCTCTGCACCGCCAGTCCTGTTTGCCTTGTAGAGCTCATACCTGGGTTCACCTCTGCGAGGATGGTGCCTCTGTATTTCCTGCCCCAACATGAGCCCAGTCTTCTGACTAGCATGTGATGTTCAAGGAAAAAAGTTTTGATCTCTTTAAATTGTATGCTGAGGATTGAAAAAGAAGAAGGTTTTTATAATTACTTTAAATGATTAAAGAAGCAATTTTAAGAAAATTAGCACATACTAAACAATTAAGACGTTACATTTGGGAGTGAACATTCAGATGATAATTTCATGTTGAGACTTATCTACATGGTGGTATAAATAATGCATAAGAAGTATAGTTGATACAAGTGAGATTGCTCAAGTGTGTAAAATTAAGTGTTCACAGTATGTATACCAAAAATAGATGAGAATATGATTTCATAAGTAAACTTTACTAAATGAATTCTGGAAAAGGGTAAAAGTTTGAGTATGATTTACTGGGTTAGATGTGAATTTCATAAAATGATTGATTTATTACATAAAATTTAATTTTGTCATTTGGAAGCCAGTAATTAAAACTGAAGAAAGTTTGCTCACAGTAGAATGTGAGAGTGGGATTATTTTAATTACTAGAAGGACCAGAGGAAACATGACTTAGAAAAGGATTCCAACAGAAAATGTATCATTCTCATACTAAAGGCTGCTGGAGTACCAAACGGTAAGATGAAAAGTACAATGATGGTAGCTGGTTATGCATTAAAGCAGGTATGTGCTGTAGGCAGAAGAATGGACATTTCTCTTTCAGCTACCAAACAGACTCAGGACTAACTTCTATCTTCTATACCCTGTGTTGCTCTAGTTGTGTTGATCTGCACCTGGAACTGACTGTGCCATATTTGCACCATGTGAACTTGCTATAGATGATCCTAGCAGTACACACTTGCTCATCCAAACAAGATATCAAATGCATAGGTCACTTAAGACAACTGCACATGGTGGTCTCTCTAGCAACTCTTACTAAATGTAGTAGAGCCAGAGGAGAGCAGTTAGAAAGCAAACTTCTTGGTAACTGTTAGACTTATTTCTCACCTTGGTGGTGCAACAAGAATGGGGGGTGAAGGGAGAAACAAAAAAAACAAAACCAATCAACCCTGCTCCTGACAAAGCTATGCCTTAGAATGACTAGAGCAGCTGATGTTTGATTTGGTTTTCCTCTTGCTGGTCTATTGAGTTCTATGATTTTTCTCCAGAGAGTAATTAATGACCTCCTCTTGTACCTACACGTTACAAATACATACACTCCTACAGGAAGTGAATTGCTCAAAGCCACAATTAGCTTTCTGTGAGGTTCTGATAGTAGAAGGTCATCACCTCAGGCCCCCTGACCAAAATGAAAAAGTGAAAAAAATGAAACAACCCACTCATATTGCCTAGAGTAAAAAACTTGCTCTGTGTGGCAGTAGTTTAAATTTTCTATGTTGACTATGTTCACATACTTAACCCATGTTTCAAGTGTTTATATACTATATTCTGGTTTTCTAGTAATGCCTGATCTCTATAGTTCTAAACGCATGACCTAAAGGCAGCTGGTCAAGAGGGAATGATGAAGGGCTTAATTACTCTCCCACCCCCATTAACATCAAGTTATGAATTACAATCAGCTGCTGTGAAAACCTAATGCCCAGAAGGCAGAAAGGGAAGAAGTTGCCTCTAGAGGGTTAGGAGTTGGATTTAGGTTTGTTATGGGAGCAACGTATGAGGAAAGAGTGCTGCTAGCAAGGTGAGTATTAAAATGTCTGGCTGTCAGAGAATAGCTTTGCTAATTTAAGATGGGGATGTTGCAAGTGTCTGATAATATTAAAAGTTACTGTGAGGTAGCAATTGCTTGATGATTTATAGCATTTGCACTGAAGTGACTTCCAGTATTTTTTAAGATAGGAATGAGAATGGAGAAAGGTATGATGAAATAAATAGCTCTCTTTTTTGTTGCAGTGAATCTGGGTAACCACACATCTGATTAAAAATATTAAAAGGGTCTATTTGAAAAGAAATAGTCTAGTATCCAAATGCTGGTCTCTGTTTTCTGTAATGGAACCAAAGTCCTGTATATCTGAAGACTTAAGTCTTTGTCTTGAGATAGCAGTAACTAAGGTGAGTCTGTCTGTAGCCCCACTAATGCTGTCAGTGATTTCAAGTTCTGTGTGATGTTTCTATCCTAATCTCTGTGGTATATTACATGTATTTTATTTGGTTTAAAATATAAAATATCTTAAAGTCACCGGAGCCCTAAAGCAAGGGAAATATATTTCATGGATTGTTCAGCTGGGAACTATGTCTAATTTATTTTTGTCTTTTCAAGAGATCTGTGGTGCTATACTCTATCAGAAATGGTTATTAATAAACATTAACTAGTTTGATGATTATGAGTAGTGTCACCAAGCAATTAATATTTAATTGAGCATTAAATTAAGTCCAGTTACTGTAAAGCGTCACCATCTGAGTTTGAAAAGAACCTTAACAATTTTTTTGCAAAGCATCTTGTGGTTTCTGATTTAAAAGCACAAGAGAAGGTACCTTCTGTGGAAGCTTGAAGACTTTATTGGCAGCTAAAGACCAGTTTATTAAAGAGAATGAGGTCAGTTTGGGCACTTTGGGACCCTTTTTCTGTTTTCCACCTTAGTTGTACTTTTAGGATTTACCCTTTTTTGAACACCTCAGTATTCGATGTGAAAATTAAGTTGGCAGGCTTTAGCATTACAATTAAAAACTTATATGCTCAACTCCTTGTTTCATTTGTCCTCAAAAAAATAACTGGCTCCCAAATGCTTCATAGACATTATCTAATATACAAATTTGGCTTCTAAACTGAAGTGGAAGCACTTGACGGTTTTAAATGAAAGCACTACTGTAAGCATAAGCATAAAAATGGTGCTGTATAGGATATCTGATAGCCAGGTTTACAGGCATTTCTTTTGTAAAGCATCTCTTGGACTATGCAGTAGTATTGGCTTCCTAGGAAGCCACTAACTGGTCTGTTCTCCCCTAATTAGCCTGTTTCCAATATATTACCTCCCTGCACAATAGGTGTTTACTGAGTTGACTAGTAGGATAATAGGAAAACTTTAATTGTCATAGTATTGATTTAATCATCCTCATTTTCTCCACTTCTTCAGGGAACTAGCATGCTCTTACTGCTACTGACTTTATTCTGCATGCAGATAATACTCTAAAGCAAGGTTTGGATTGCACATTAATTGACTTTTCTGTAGTAATAGGTGTTATGGCATGTATCTGATGCTTTACAAATAGAAGTCCTTTTCTGTAGTGCATTTCACAGGAGAGACTGCTGTGCTCTTGCAGACATGTACTGACTGTGTTGGGTCTCCCGAGTCAGTAACTTCTGGTGGTGCTTATTGAAGGAATACAGTAACAGGTTCTGTCACGTTCCTCTCAGTTACTGTTTGTAGGTGGAATATGTGAATATCACACATTTTCACTTAAAACTTATGTTATTACTGGTTTGATTCCTCTGTAGTAGAAACACCTGAAGTAAATTGGATATATTCCACTGATTGCAGCAGTATTCTTTTCTGGTGATGCTGGGTAGAGGGCCTTGCACCAGTGTGGGCTGTTTGAGATGTTGGAGGGGATTATTGTGCAGCTGCCAAGCCATTCTGTTCACTTTCTAATTGCTTTCCTGAACTGAAATAACATGTCTTCTTTTTCCCAATATATGTTTAATATTTGTTTTATGATAGCTGAATAAACTGGGTATTCTCTCTGCTTATAAAGGTTATTAACATTGTTTGATATGTATTACTATCCTAATTGCATTCTTTCATCTCTTAAATATTGAGTTTTCTGAAACTCATTGGAGAAAAGGTCTCCATTCCGTTGGATCAGGTGTCATTATTTTTACTGTGGGAATGCTGTAGGCCTGGGCAGAGTCCTTGGGGTAAGGCAATGATAATACGCTTGGGTTGCCAGAGCCCTAGGAAATGTGCAGCTGGTGCCACTGAGGGTGAGATCATGATGTGTGGGTGTGATGGGACCTTTAAGAGGACCTGGGCAAGCCTTTTTTAAAATGAGCTTCCAGAGAGATCAGAAAGGATTTTAAATTGAAGCAAGCAACCGAGAAATAACAACTTTTGCTTTACAGCATGAACTAGCATAATTAGTTTCTATGGGCAAGTAGAAGTCAATAGGTAAGACAATATATTTATTATATTTATCCCAGTACTTGAAAAGACCTTTGCCCTCAGCTCAAGTTCACTCAGTTCAGTGGCTTTCTGGCTTGTGCCACACAGATACCTCTGAGTCCATAGAAGAGGTCTTTTTCTTTTTCTCTTACCTTTTGAGGCTCCCTCCTTTCAACAGTCCTTTGCCTCAAGCTGTAGGCAACTCCGCCTTCTTGCTTTGACTTTCCTCTGCTAAAACCGATGTACTCATTGGACAAAAGACAGTAAACGTGCTGACAGTCACGCTGAGGCTTATTGCCACAGGTGATGGGAAGCACAGCATCTATCTGTTCCTCTATTCTGTCTCCCACTTATAAATTCAGCATAAACCTTATTCTCTTCCTTAACTTTTCCATAGCGTCAAAAACTTCTCTGTTTTGGGAATAATTAAATTTGTCAAAAGTGTTGACAGGCCCCAAAAGGTTTCTGCCCTCTTAGTCTGACCTTTGCAACCATCTGTGTTAAATTTCTTTTGTAACAGTTCCTTTGTAGATAAAAATATACATTCTCTTTCCAAAATCTATAGATATTTTTCTTTTCTCTGTATTGTTCTCAGTTTTACAGATATTAAAAATGTAGTTGTATTGCAAAATTTTAGGAGTTAATTGATTCTTTTTTTTTTCTTCTTTAAAGTTTATTTGTCTATAAATGTAACCACTGAGTTTTATTGTACTTTTGATTCTCCGGGTTTACTCCCAGTAGAGGTAACTTATGGTGTCACTGATTTCTAAGGGGTGAAACTGTGTTCCAGATAAAGATAGTGATAGCTGTGGTGGTTCTGGAAGTACAGCTGAAGTTTTGACTTAATTGTGGAACTGCTGTTGTATCATTCTGGTAATGGTGATGAGGTAAGAGGGGTTTTGGTTTTGTTTTGTTCTTTTTTGAGAGAGAGAATTAAAACAGGTTCTAACCAACATTACCAGTTTGAAGGAGAATTCCATGGAATTTAATTAAAGGTTACAAAGATTACTTGAGTTAATGCCAGCTTATTGTCAAAAGCAGATGCGGCTACATTTGGGATGGCTTTTTCAGAGTAACAGTTGGGAGTGGGGTATGGGGATGCATTATGTGGGGACTTTACAGATTTTCGTTAACTCTAGGGAATGAATATGTTTTCTGATTTTGTCATATAATGCTGTAGGGTAAAGATAAGGTCTGTTATAAATACACAAATCAGCATACTGCAGGTACTTCCAAGCTGTAAGATAATGAAGATTATATTACACTGGAAATACATACTAAAACTCACTTTATTTCTTTCTAGTTCTACTTTTTTACTACTTCTAGTTAAAACACAGGAAAATATTTGAGATCTAGTATGTTAATTTCTGTAGGTAATTGTGTTGGGCGGTTATGGTTTTTTTTTTGGCAGCACAAAGATAAGTTTTTGAGTAGTTATCAGACTACTTCATGACTAGTTATCTCTGAGGATTGGACAAGGATACCTGAGCAGTGAGAGATTTCTTAGACTAGCTGGTTAGTAATCTGTTGTTCGAACAATGTGCTTTACTTTTTTTATATACTCTATCACACATAATATTTCCCTATGAAATCCATGCAGCCTTAAGTTATCTAACCAAGCTTCTGATAAAAGAAAAAATAATTAAAATGAATGGTTACTTTGGGAGTGGAGTCTGAGTTTTTAAAATGAAATGTGTTGTAATGACTTTCTTCTCATGTATTGATATAAAATTAATCAAGTTTGTCTCCTGTCAGTACTCAGCTGTAATAAATGACAGGCTGTTGTGGTGCCAAACCATCCAAGAAATTATTTGCTATAGGATTTGTCAGAAATCTGCTGACATTCAATGTGTTCTTGACTGTGGCTCAGAGATGATATTTCAGCTTTGTGTCATATATGCATGAGTTCTTCTTTCAGGCTGTTTTGGCTTTCTGCAGCTGTTAAAAGGTCAGAGGTAATCAGATAAGCCAGTAGGATGCTATCTGTCATTATAATTGACTTGAGCCATCATACATAGGAAATCATGCTGAATATCAATACTGACATTTAAAGTGATGGTATAGTGATTGTATTATTACAAATGTATCCCATATTTAGCTACAGCAGATCCTGTTTTTTTCTCTGTGCAGAAACAAGTGCTGCAAGGTATTAAATTTTTATGTCTACTTAGCTGGTGAAAATCATCTAAACTATCCAGAAATTATTTTCCCAGAACGATGTGATTGAGTTCATCCAGTTTTGAAACATGGTTGTGCACAATTTGTATTATTTTTAGAGGCATAACAGAGGTATTAGTAAAATATAACTCATGCAGCTGGCATTTTGAATAAAAAGATTAATAAAGCAGTCAAAAGTTGTTCTCCTTAACGCTATTAAATGTTTGTCATATGTCTAGTTGAGCTGATACCAGGTACCCATGTCTTTCACTACCTGGTGAACACCTCATTGCTTGGAACTTATGTTGAAGCTACAAGTCAGGGTTTTGGTAATGCTTCTGTATGTTTTCCTCTAGAGCAGTTTGAGCCATGCAAAACGTCATGTATACCTGTTTTTTAGCTCAGAGACATTATCTGCTCTTAT